GCAGAAGTAACTCGCAAGGTCCGCCTGCGCCTAGTAACTAGACCTCCTCGCCCTCGCACTCTGGGGCCGCCATCTTGCTGCCCGAAGACGCGTTTAGCTCGGGGCACCTCGCGAACCTTGCGTCGACAGCCCTGCAATCCCAGAAGACGCGGAGATTGCCCGTCCTCTGGCGCACGAAGAAGGGCGTGATCAAATCCTCTGGGTCGGCGGTGCAGCGAAGCACTCTGGCACCATCAAGCCGAGATACGAAGGCTGCATACTCGTGAACGTCGTCCGCCAGGGCCACATCCGCAGATGGAACACCTGGGGTTCGCTCCCACATCGTGGGCCGATATTATCTTCGGAAAGCATCACCCGCTGCTCGAGCTCCCGCAGACACTGCGCACCGTCGGGGTCGAGAACGTCGAGCGCGGCGTGGGGATGCCCCAAGGCCTCCGGCACTGCGATCAACGTGGCGTCGTAGCGGGCAAAGGCACCAGGTGCCTCTCCACCGTCGTAGCAGAGGCCAGAGCCGAGAAGTTCGCGGGCGGCTTCTCGTCCCGCCGCCGTCGTGGCGCGGCGGCGACGCGGGCCGCCGCCGCGCCATCTTCGCCCCTGCCACCCTTGCGGCCCTTGCCCCTCGAGCACACCACCGCCTCCCCCGTCGCCTTGGGAGCCTCCTTCGCGATCGCCGGCTCCTGCTTGAGCTGGTCAGCCACGTGCGCCGACGAATTCGGGGCGATGGCCGCTCCTCCGGCCCGTCGACTCCACCCCGTGAACTTGTCGGCCGGGCTGCAATCGGGCTGGTGCCCCCTCGATGAGCGGGAGGCGGCGGGCCAGGAGCTCCTGGCAGACAAGGGACGGGCAATTGAGCTGGCCGTGCATCATTGCAGAGCCGATGATGCGGCCGAGCGTCTCATGCTCGTAGACGCTCCTGTTGCCCGATGGCACTTTCGAGAGTCTTGCGGCGCTCGCCCTGAGCGCCCATCCTGACAGGCACGGTTCGGAAGTCCCCCTGCGCGAGCAGCGCCGCGTCAGCGGCCGTCAGCTGCCCAACCACGATGGACTGTCCCAAGGCCTGCACCACGGCACGGTCTCCGAGCATGACGGCGTCTGCGGGCAGTGCGTGGCACACGAGGTCGCCAACCTCATAGCCAGCTCGATCCTCCAGGACACGCCAGCTAAGCCCCGCGGGCGGAACCAGCACACACCCAGCGCCCACTCCATCGCCTGCGCCGGGGAGACCTGGAGGGATACCTAAAGCGGCGGCTGGCCCGCCACCACCCCCGATCGGCGCCGCTGCCGCGGAGAGGGGCGCCCGGGGCGGGGGCGGCAGCATGGGCAACCGCCGCCGGCACGGCGGCCGGCGCGGGGGCCACGGGCGCCGCACCGAAGTGGTTCACCAGCGGCAACGGCGCACACGGCACCCCCAGCGCAGGGGCACCCGTGGGGAGCCCCGACATGGCGCCCAGCACGTACACGGAGCACAGGATGAGCCCCAGCACCAGCGCCGCCGCGGTGATGGCAAGGGGCGAGGGGTACGCGCAGATGCACGTGGAGGCGGGCACCACCGGGCCGCTGAGGACTGGCGAGCACGCAGGACAAGGGGCGTTCGCTCCCCAATGCCAGGCCAGTGCTGATGCCGCGCGAGAACTCGAGCGCGGCAGCGCGGGCTAACTGCATCGCTGGAAAAACTTGAGCCATCGTGTTAGCGGACCGACGGATTAAGACGACGGAGCTCCAAGCTCCGCAGACAAAATTCCCGAGCAAGCACATCCAGCACCATCTTTCCATGTCCTGCTCTTCTGAGTGGCATCGCACCAGTCCTTTTGGCTGAGGTGGTCTGACGATATTGCCGTTCATATTCCAAAAACCCCCTTCCCTTCGGGGATGGGTATCCTCCCCCTCCCCTCCATGAGTTTTTGGGGGGCGGGCCGCGATCGGGCAGGGCGCCCAAGATGGCCCAAGATGGCCCCCAGCGGGCCCCCGATGCTCGAGTATGGTCTCCCAAAAAGGCTCAAGATAGCCGAACATGGTTCAAGAGAGCTTCCGACATACATTCAAGAGGCCCGACGAGGGCCACAAGACGGATCCAAGTGCTCTCGGAGCCCCCAAGGAGGCCAAAAGGAGCACCCTCAGGAACCTAAGGAAAATCAAGGATGTCTGCCTTCTCGCCTTTGCGCTTCCGATGCGTTGTTGAGGCCTCAAGATGGCCCCAAGATGACCATAGAGAGACCCAAGAAGGGCCTAAGAGGGGCCCAAGAGGCCCCAAAAACGGCGCCAAGAGGGCCTAACGTCGACCCAAGAGTGCCCCACGAGTTCCGCAAGAGAGGAAGGGGACGCAAATCGAGGACCTCCAAAAGAGGTCCTCCAGGGCCCCTAGGAGGGCCCCAAGAGTGCCCTAAGAGGGCCCCGAGAGAGCCCCAAGACCCCCCAAGAGAGCCGCAAGAGGACCCCAAGATCCCCCCAAAGAATCCCAATAGGGCTCCAAGAGGCTATTTTGAAGGCTCTGTCCTCATCATCGTTGTCCTCTTCCTTGTCGTCCTTGTCCTTGCCCTAATCATGTTCCTGTTTTGTTTGCTTTTCTTCCTCGTCGTGTGGTGGTCGTGTTCGTGCTCCTCCTCCTCCTTGTCCTCCTCCTCCTCCTCCTCCTCCTCCTCCTCCTCCTCCTTCTCCGAAGACGCCCTCCAAGGCCACCCCCTTGCTCCTGGAGCTCTCTGTTCACCCTGGTGACCCGCTTTGTTTCACTATGTGTGTCTCTTCGTTCCTCTTCCCGTGAGCTGTCGTGAACAAAATTTCTGCATGGGCTGTTGGGGATACGTGAACTGTACAGAACTTCTCGTTCTCCTCGTCCTCCATCCTCCTGCTTTGTCTCCCAATCGCACCTCCCCTCCCATACACCGCGTCGTCAGCTTTATCTTCCTAAGCACCACTGTCGTCGTCACATACTCGGCCAGCATAACACGCATCAGTTGAACCACCACAGTCAGAATCATCAGCAGCAGCAGCAGCAGCATCCTTGTCATCATCAGCAGCAGCAGCATCATCAGCAACAGCACATGTATCATCAACCTAACCATCACAAGCAACGTCATAGTCGCAATCGCAACTGAAATAATGACAGAAACGGGCATGGTAGAGATATGAATGGCACATTCCCCTAATGCTCATAATCCGTCCCCTCCGCGTCATATGTCATCATCTCCTACTTCGTCTGCCCTCATATTCTTCACTTGCACTCAGATGATCATCAACATCCCACTCCATCAAGCCTGGTCTCCTTCATCCTCTCCATCCTCGTGTTCGTGTCCCTCTTTGATCACCATCCTGCTCGTGACCCTGTTCATCTTCAACATCATGAAGCACAAATTTTCTATATTAACAAATCTAAAAAGGGGTTCACACTTACACAAATGTTACTGGGCTAGCGGGATGAGGGGGGCACAACACCGTGCAAATTCGCCGGCCCAACGGGCCAGAGGCGTGCTAAGATCTCCGGTAGCTGCTAAATAATACGTCTACTTCGCGCGCGCGGGGCGGCCCCTGGGGGTCCCCGGGCGAAAAGTACCCCAGGCGATCCCCGGCAGACTCGGGCCAGAGATGGTTTTCCTCCTGGGCGCCGCCCCCGTGGCCCTCCAGAGAGCCCCAAGAAGGGCCACGAGGCCGCCAAGAGCCCTCCAAGATGGTTCAAGAGTGCTCCGAGATGCCACACGATCGATCGGAGACGCCCAAGATGGCCCCCAGACGCCCCAAGAGGCCTCCAAGAGCACTCCCCAGAGGGCCCCAAGAGGCAAAATTCATTGCTCAGGCTTACGTTTGAAGCCAGACGACGACGTGCTGAAACACTCTTTCGCATCACTAGTGTCGCCACCGACCGGTTACAAGTGGGAAGATCTCAAAACGCGAGTCGTGAGAACGCCTGCTCGTGTGTGGCACGGCCACACGCACTGCTTAAGGCAAAACATGGGCGGTCGGGGGGGCGCCTTGAGCCCCAACGGTTGAGGCGGCCCACCCCACTCCTGCTCCGCAAAACACGCTAGGATAACTACAATTGCCCAGGCTTGCGTTTGAAACCAGACGACGACGTGCTGAAACACTCTTTTGCATCACTAGTGTCGCCACCGACCGGTTAGAAGCGGGAAGATCTCACAACGCGAGTCGTGAGAACGCCTGCTCGTGTGTGGCACGGCCACACGCACTGCCAACTACGCACCGTAAATCTGCCAACAATGCACGAGTGCACACTGGCCACGCCGAGATTTAACTGCTCAGATATGTATCGAAATTCTGAGCGGTCCGCGCAGCATAAATATCATAGAAACGTTTGGCCATGAATTTACACAGGGGCACGGGATCGGGCTCAGCGATTTTAGTCCAGAACACCCCATCCGCACGCTCACCGATCAACTGCTGGTGGGACAGGCCCGCGCGGGCACACACACACACACACACACGCGACGGCTGCCGAGGCATCTACGATCTCCGAGGCCAGAGAGGTCGACAAGATAGGCAACAAAGGTGGTGGTATTCTTAAAGGGGCCAGCCCAATTACAGATGTCAGCGTGAACAGTGCAAACGTTTCTTCTCTTATTTAGGGCAACGATCGAATTACAGAGCCACAGGCGGGAGGTACGCGGGTTCTCTGGACTCCAAGGGACCCGCCTCGCAATAGCATCACGGAAGAGGCGGCGCGCGAAGCGAGTCATATTATTGGCAAGGCTCACTTTATGTTGCAGGGCGGGCGTCAGTCCTGGGAGGCCCCAAGGGAAGGCGTCACTCCTCAGAGGTGGCGGCCCGTTGCCCCGATCACGGATTCGGGGGAACGTCTGGCAGGGCAAGGCCACGTGGAACCCGCGGATGAGCCCCCCGGCGAGCCAGCCCATCAGGAGATTCTGGTTCTTGCCAAGAGTCAGGCCACAGTCCTCACCGAAAGAAACATCCCACAAGAGCACCAGCATCCCTTCTTGAGCGGCGGCGTGCCCCAGGCGCCCGGAGCCTGAGAAGATCTCGATGAATCATCATCAGGGGCCGTCGAAGGGCTGGCGACGCTTGGCCGCCACGTCGCCGAGCGAGTCGGCGCAGCGCAGCGCGTGGGCACGCACCTTGGGCGGCAGGCGCTCGAGGACCTCCCCGAGCCGCGCGCCCTTCTCGTACCCCCTGAGGCTGCTGTGGGCCCGCCAGCGGCCCCGATGGCGGATCTGCCCCAGCGACCTGGCGCCCGTCGCGGCGCCGTGGCCGGCGCCGCCGTGCCGCAGCTGGCAGCGGGAGGCCACGCCCACGCTGCCCAGCTTGATCGCCTTCACCGCCCTGCTGAAGGCCCTCGCCGCGTCGGCCGCCGCGATCTTTAACAGGGGGGGCGGCGCGGCAGACCGCTTCAGCACCACCGTGCGCCAGCGCGGGCCGTGGCGGCCCTGCAGCAGGGCAGCCAGGGCAGGCCCCGGCGCGGCCTGGCGCTCGAGGTCGAGCTGCATCGCCTCGTCGAACTCCTCCGTCTTGGAGGCCACGGCGTGCTCGCGCGCGTGGAGGTTCAGCGACCAGCTGCAACCTGCCCGCGCTCCGGCGACAGGCGGCGCGAGGTCCGCCGCCCGGAGGCTCAGCGGCTCGTTCGGGCGGCAGTACATCTCGAAGGTCAGCCACATCAACAGGCCCTCCTCCCAGAGGTTGTTGAACCACATCCACATCACCAGCATGCACATCACCTCGAACGGGATGGCGAGCCTGGAACCCGCCCGTACCAGCCGATTCCAGCCCTTCGGCGCCTGGCGGGAGAGCGGCATCCGCCCCCCCCCCCGCCTTGCTGAGGCTAGGGTTGAAGAACAGCACCGCGGCGAGCATGCGTTGCCCGAGGCTCAGGTGGGCGCCGTCGAGGTACATCGCGTCCAAGAAGAGGCTGAGCACATGGTCGCAGTCCGCCTCGGCGCGCGGCAGGGGCCGGCCGCCAGTCTTCAGCCAGAGCTTGAACGAGGCAAAGCCGGCGGCGTAAAGCCGCGACGTAGCGGGGCGTGCCGAGTGAGTCTGGCACACCGTAGCCGCTGACGGCCGCGGCGCCCCGCTGCCGCCGCACAGCCTCCTTCGCCCGCGCCGCTCGGCCGCCGCGCGGCAGCGGCGCCCGGCGCTGCGGCGCCCGGCGGCTCGCCGCTGCAGGCCGTGCGCCCGGGCCGCGGCGCGAAGGAAACGCCGGAGATGAAGGCGGGCTCGCACTCGACGGCGCACTCGTCGACGCCGTCGCCGAACGCCTCGATCGAACCCGCACCAGTCTGGCGGCAGCCGCTCGACCCCCGGGCCCGAGGCAGCATTGTCCGGGCCGCGCTCGCCGCGCTGAAGCCACTCAAGCTCGCGGGGCTTCGAGAGAGACAATGGCTTCGGACGGGAGGGGGCAAGCAAGCCGCGAGACGGCCCGTCGGCGACGTTCCACTCCGAAGGCAGCCACCGACAATGTACCACACAGCCGGCGGCGAGACAGAGGGCGGCGACTGACTGGGTGACTCTCAGCATCGGCCTCGAGTGGGAGCGCCCCTTGAACACGGCGCAGGCCGCCACCAAAGCATCCCCCAGGACGGCGATCCGCCTTCCGAAGTTCCGACAAAGTTCCGAGAGCTCCTCAAGGCGCGGCGCAGGGCACACAAAATAGCACGCCCCTCCAGGATCGGCATGGGCTCCTCGCAGCCCCGGCGGTAGCGACCCACCACCTTCCAGTCGCGCTTCAGCAGGCCCAACGGAACCTCACGAAATACACTTTCACGAGCGTCACCGAGGCCACCTCCCAAGACGTCGGCGGTGCCCCCCTTTCTCGGTCGGCCCCCGTCCACGTCCCAGAGGCCCTCAGCACCGTTGTCGTGCGCCCCGGAGAGCCACTGCACCTCGGGGTCGTCGGAGACGGCGGCAGCGGCGGCAGCCTGAAGACGTGGAGGAAGACGGGCACCCCGAGAGAACCTCCACCGCTCGCAGTGCTTACCCAGGCCCTGGGCCTCCTCCAGAGCGACAGACGACGAGCATACACCCAGACCAGTCGGAGACGCGTACACGGCGCACAGCGTCGGCCCCCAGGAGGCCTTGAGGTTCCGCCGCAGCAAGGGCGAGACCCCGCCCCAGATGGTGAGCTCCCTGACGACGCTGGCCCACAGCGGGGCCTCCTCGTTGTAGACGCGCCGGATGAACGCGAACACCGTATCGAACACGGAGAGACTTTCTCTTCGGACCAGGCTGATGAACCCCATGTGGCCTAGGAGCCTCTCGAGGACCTTCCCAGAGACACGACCACCACGAAGCGCGGCACGAACGCACAGGCGAGCTCACCAGGCTCTGGCCCGCGTGGGCCTGATCACAGCATTGCGGCAACTAATATCCCACCCTAGCACAGTCCGATCGCGGGCACCGTCGGCGCCGGGTGCATCGACGTCGGCGGCTGCGACCAACCCAGACCTTTTCGGCCACAGTCGAGATGGCGACAAAGTTATCAACATACTGTAAGTGACAGGCCCCCGCAAGAGAAGGAATAGCACGACGATCCTGCAATCGATCCCCAGGCCGCCCCCCACGCCTTTCTACCAACCTCTCGTGAACACGCCGGCACCACCAGAGCGCCCAGGTCCACCTCATTGGGCAAACCCGAAGCCTTGGATAGAGCCAGGCCCCTCCCCGCACAGGCTGCCCGTCGAGCTCGGTAACACCGATGTCACAAGCACGCACACGCCGAAGAGTGAACAGATCACGCAACGCAGCAGGCAGCTCAAGATGATAGAACGCATTCGAAAGATCAGCTTCAGATATATATATATATATATATATATATATATATATATATATATATATATATATATAGAGTGTCATCCTCTCCCACTTCTAGGTTCCCAAGGGTCTCGCCCGTGCACAAGGTCGCGTTATCGGGGTCTCGGAACCAGGCGTTGCCATGGCGACAATCACACACAAGACGTAATCGTTGGTCCTTTTTCGGCACGCAAAAGAACTCCACGGACTCTCGCCCGCGGTCGCAGGCAAAGTCGAGCAGCCCTGCTTGATGAAGCCTGGAAACAAAATCGCCCCATGCGCGTGGGCGGCGAAGCGAAGGGTCGGAGTAGGGCGCCCTCACGCCACTCATCTTCCTCTCCAGTGCCGGCCCCGCAGGTAACACACTGTCGCGCACGAAGTCCGCGACGCGCCTGCGCCCGCCCTCGCCCCACAAGGCCGCGAGGGGCACCGCGCGGTTCCCCACGGCTGGAAGTGCGAGCAGGTCGGGATTGCAAGACCCCAGCCTCACGCCCGCGTCGAGGCCGTAGACGCTGGGCACCCGAAGCTTCCGCGGAGCTTCTGGGGCGTCGACGCCAGTCGGTGGAGCGCCCAGCGAGTCGACGGACTCGCGCACGTGCTCCATGATGCGCTGCTGCATCAACGACAAGGTACCAGCACTGAGCCGCCCAGCGTCGCCCAACACAGCGTCGGGAGAGTTGTGCAAAATATTGAGGGCCACCACAGCCCGACGAACATCCAAGTCACGAGCATGCCGACGCCCAACCCGCTGCTGGCAACCACGAGACAAAACTCCTCCACCTCCACCTCGGGCAGCAGCCACTGGAGGCACAGGTAGTGGAAGAGGGTTGCGAGGAACGTGTCGAGAGGCCTCGTCAACCCCGACAGATACTCGGTTAAATTCATCATGCAGAGGCGCCTCTCGCCAGTCTGGCGGGCGAGAGCCACGGGGGGGGCCTGTCATGGCCCCGTCAACCCTTGTCGTCCTTCTTGCCCTTCTTGAGAGCCTCCATTCTCTTCACGAGCTTTCCGGAGGTTCTTCGACAGGGCTGCTTCTCGCTCAACTTCCTTCCAAATGTGATCGAGCAGACCAGGGCGCACCATCAGGCTAGAATGCAAGCGCGTCGAGCCCGAGAAGTGCGTCTGCTCCTCGATGGACAGCCCCCCGCTCTGGTTGGCCCCCTCGCGCTCGCGCACCTTCTCGAGGTACGAGTGCTCGATCGTCTGCAGCCTACGGAAGATGGCCTCGCACGCCTGCAGGCTCGTGCCGTCGCACTGGTCGGAGAGCAGCAGGAGGCGGAGGAACAGGCAGCACTGGTAGTGTTCCTGCACTCCCACTGCGTCGGCTCGAGCCTTGCCACAGCTCTGAATCGATCGTGATGGCCGTCGATCCCCATGCCTTCGTTGTTGATGAAGTCTATGCACCAGAACGCGGTACGAGGGCCGGCCACCAGCCAATCCCGCCCGAAGTCCTCCTGCTGGACGCGCGCGGCCATGCTGGCCCACGTCACCTCCCGCCTGGCCCCCGTCCGCACGACGGGGAGCACCCGCGCGTCCGCGGCCACCGCCCGCCCCATGAACGTCTCGAGGTCGTCGGCGGCCACCTCCTCTACGAACAGCGCGGCGCCGTCGGGGAGGACGTGGAGGTCGCGGCCCTGCACGGCGCCTGGCGACGCCACGTGCGCGGCCACCTCGTCGCCGTAGCGGAAGTCCCCGATCGACTGGGCCGCCCGCCACCGCGCCCCGCGGTCGGCGACCGCCGCGGGCGCGGCAGCGCCCTGCAGCACGCCAGGCAGCGGCCCAGGCGCAGGGGCGCCGGCCGCGGCCCCCGCCGGCGCCGGCGCGGCTGCGCCGTGGCCGCCAGGGATCAGCGCCAGGAAGCCCGGCGCCGCGAGGAGGTCTGGGCGTCCGAGCTGCGCGGCGAAGTGCTGACACCGCTGCTGCGCCAGGAGCTCCGCGTCGCGGAGGTAGACCTGCTTCTGCGCCGCAACGGGCTCGAGCCGGAAACGATACACACGGGCGGGGTCGACCCCAGGAGGCACGGCGATCCACCCAGCGCTCCACCGCACCAGGTCGACGTCCTCGTTGGCGCCTTCATCGTAATTCTTGATGTACGTGTCCCCATCCGGCGTGGTCCCCACGTACTCAGAAGCCGATAGCGCCACGCGGCCTGAAACCCACCTCTGGTGCACCAGATCGTCGACGACGTACCTGATCCACCCCCACTGCATAGCCCACCAGCTTCACGAGCACCAGGGCGCAGCAGCCGCCCAGCAAGGCGCCGGCGACTAGCCCGTGCACGAAGGAGCGCCCGCTGTCACACGGCGCCCCCTCCTCGTCCTCGCAGGCCTCACAGGCCGGGCAAGGGGGGCAAGCCGCCGCTCCCGCCTCGCGCGCCCGGCACGCACGCTCTGCCGCCGGCGGCGGGCAGGACAGCGAGGGGCACATCGGGCACGCGAGGGACGCGGGCGCCTGGCACGCGAAGCTCGGGCACGAGGGGCAGGTCAGAGAGCACCGTGGGCACTCGGGCGCTGACGGGCACCTGGTGAGGTAGGCCACGGTGATGTCCCTCGCCCCGCCGACCACCCACTTCCACATCCACGGCGCGCGGACCGTTCCCCTCCGTTTCGCCTTGAGCCCCAACGGTTGAGGCGGCCCACCCCACTCCTGCTCCGCAAAACACGTTAGGATAACTACAATTACTTTTCCTTTGGTTTTGGACAGATTTTGGCGTGTCCATCTTTTCGGCTTCCCGACGCCCCAAGACGGCCCAAGAGGCCCCCAAGATCGCCCCAAGAGGGCCCAACAAGCTCCCAAGAAGGCCCCAAGATGGCCCAAGAGGGCTCCAAGACGGCCCCAGAGGCATCCAAGACGGCCCAAGAGGGGCCCAAGAGGGCCCCAAGCGATGCCCCAAAGGGGGAACACAAAACAAAGCTTCGAGCCCTCGGCCTTAAGAAGCCACCTGGAGGCCTCAAGAGGCCCCTGAGGCCCCAAAAGCCCCCAAGAGGCCCTCAGGAGGCCCCCAAGCGACGCTGAAGAGGCCCCCCAGCGGCCCCAAGAGGCTCAGTCATGCGAAATGGGCCGGCGGAATGAGCGAAGCGATTCAATAATGTGTGGTTCCGATAGCGTCCTCGCTCTGGCGGGGCCTCCCTGAGGGGGTGGGAGAAGCACGGCACGGCGTAAATAATGTGTGGTTCTGATATCCTCCTCGCTCTGGCGGGGCTTCCCTGGGGGGGGCGGGAGGGGCACGAATCGATGTACATAATGTGGTTCCGACAGTCTCCTCGCTCCGGCCGGGCCTGCCTGGAGGGGTGGAAGGGGCATGAAACCGTGCAAATAATGTGTGGTTCCGATGGCGTCCTCGCTCTGGCGGGGCTTCCCTCGGGGGGTGGAAGGGCCACGAAGCGGTGTAAATAACGTGTGGTTCCGATGGCGTCCTCGCTCTGGCGGGGCCTCCCTGGAGGGGTGGGAGGGGCACGAAATTTTATCAATAATGTGTGTTTCCGATGGCGTCCTCGCTCTGGCGGGGCCTCCCTGGAGGGGTGTGGGAGGAGCACGAAACAGTGTAAATAATCTGTGGTTCCGATGGCGTCCTCGCTCTGGCGGGGCCTCCCTGGGGGGGGTGGGAGGGGCACGAAACGGAGTAAATAATGTGTGGTTCCGACGGCATCCTCGCTCTGGCGGGGCCTCCCCGGAGGTGTGGGAGGGGCACGAAATGGTGTAAATAATGTGGTTCCGATAGCCTCCTCGCTCTGGCGGGGAAGGAGGAGGGGGAGAGAAGAGGGAAGGAGAGGCTGCTCTGGGAAAACAAGAACCCCGCTCAGGACGTGGGGAAACAACGAATGATAGCAGCAAAAGTGAAGAGGCGGGTCGAGGGGTATGGGGTCCGCTCTAGGGGACAGGGGTGAGCGCACGGCCATGTGCCATGTGCATTTTTCGGGGATGGACAGACCCCCCTTTAGTAAAAGATGGTTTAGTGAAAACAACCTGAGGCCCGAACCTGGCGGGCGCAAGCCTGGAAAATAACAGCCACGGCACCCTCTCGAGAACCGAAAACGGACAACTCACCAATCGACGTGTCACTGTTGGGGGTTCTGTCCACCCCCGAACTTTAGCGTATTAGTTCACAATGGATCGCTGCCGTCTGGATCAGAATGCTGCCAGCATCGAAGCGGGAGCACGATTCTAAATAAATTGCGAGGACGTCTCAAGTGCAACGGCTGCCAGACAGGGCGTCCTAGGGTCCCCCCTGTGGAGCTCCTCTGTGGCCCTCCTTTACCACATGAAAAACCTTCTAGCGAAACGCTATTAGTAGTACAACAACAACAACCACAACAACAACAACAACAACAACAACAACAACCACAACCGCAACCACAACCACAACAACAACAGCAACAGCAACAACAACAGCAACAGCAACAGCAACAGCAACAGCAACAACAACAACAACAACCATTTTAAGGCTGTACGCTTTTACTTGCCCGCGAGTCATTCAACACGTATACCCTACACCCTCGAAACCCGCCCTCTTCGTCTTCGATCACACCCCTTTCGGGGGGATTATTTCTCTTTGCTGGGGCCGGCGGGCTTAGACGTACGGGCAAACCGGAACGGGCGGACAATCCTTCGGGGGCGTACATCTCTCTGCCCGCCATTGGAATTGGCGCGGGCCCTGCAAGAGGAGGAGGGGAAGAACGAGGGAGAGTGGGAGGAAGGGGAGGGGGAAGGACGAAGGAAGAGGGAAGATACCACGTTGTGAAGGCGTCCTTGGCGCGCGCGTGGTTCCTGAGCGCCGAAACGCAATTCCAGAATAATTTGTGAGGACGTCGCACGCGAGAGCGCAGTCCTGAGTACATTGTGAGGAAATCTCGGGCGGAAGCGGGGGCCCTGACTAAGTTGCGAGGAAATCTCAAGCGGGAGCGCCGTTCCTGAGCAAATTGCACGGAAGTCTCAGGCGGGAGCGGGGGTCCTCACTAAATTGCGAGGAAGTCTCAGGCGGGAGCGCCGTTCCTGAGTCAATTGCGCGGAAATGTCAGGCAGGAGCGGGGGTCCTGAGTAAAATTCGAAGAAGTCTCAGGCGGGAGCGCCGTTCCCACGTAAATTGCACGGAAGTCTCAGGCGGGAGCGGGGGTCTTGATTACATTGCGAGGAAGTCTCAAACGGGAGCGCCTTTCCTGAGTAAATTGCGCGGAAGTCTCAGGCGGGAGCGGGGGTCCTGAGTAAAAATCGAAGAAGTCTCAGGCGGGAGCCGTTGTTGTTGTAGCCCGGGGGGCAGGGGCACAGGTTGAGCAGGAAGACTTTCCTTTAGACAAAACACGGTGCGAGCCCAGGGGGTGGCACTTCAATCGAAAAAAAAATGTGCACCGGTGGGGGGGATCAACAATAATTATTCTTCAAGAATGAGAGTTCAACAACAACAACAACAACAACAACAACAACAACAACAACAACAACAACAACAACAACAACAACAAGAACAACGAAATCGACAAAAACCCTCGGAGGTCCGTGCAGATTTCTCGGATCGGCGCTGGACCCCCCTCCCTGGCGCGCGAAGCGCGCCAGTGACGGCGCCGGAGGCGCTGTCAGAGGGGCCCAGCGCCCAACCAACACATCTGCGCGGACCTCCAAGAAGTTATGTTTATGCCGTTTTGGCCCGTCGGGCCGACGAAAAATCCCACCGTCGGAGATCTGGGGTTAGGTCGGGCGTGTTCCCTACAGGCGGATTTTGGACGGAAATTTGAAGATACTCAGAAATACCACAAAAATGCCCCCCCCCCAAAAAAAAAAAAAAATCGTCCCCATACCACTTTGGAGGTAAATTTGAATTTCCCTCCTGTAGAGGGACATACCCGACCGAATCAACGAAAAATCCCACCGTCGGAGATCTGGGGTCGTGATCCCACTGGACCCCCACCCTCCCGGAATCCACCTCTTCGCGGGCCGCCCGGCTCAGCTGTGCGGCCAGCCCGCGGCGTCCTTGGCCTGCGGGGGCCACGGCGCCGCCGGCGGGGGCGCCGGCGAGGCGGGAGGCCAGATGGCCATCGCTGCAGCCGCCTCGGGCCCACCGGGGGGAGAGGGGAAGGGGAGGAGGGAGGGGCCCCACCCCCTGTTTTTTCTTTTGTTGTTTTGAGCTCAACGCTCCACCTCTGTAACTCGACGTGGGAGGTCGAACGAGCCGAGGACGACCAGCACGAGCACCTCGACTAGGATGAGCAGCAGCACGAGAGGGACGAACAGCACGGAAAACGTTGTTCCTCCCTGTTCTGCCTCCGGGGGGCCCTCGCCAGGCCCAGGGGCCGTGAGAAAATGGCTCTGGAGGAGAAGCCAGTCCCCGAGAAGGGAGAGCATGCTACGCTTAGTCAAAAATTGTCTGGGGACTATTTTTCTAAATATGTTTGACCATTTTTGCATATTTTTGAAATATTTTCAATTATTCGCCCAAAATCCGCCTGTAGGAGGACAGGCCCGACCTAATGCTACGCATGAAGTGAATTGAGTACCAAATAAAAGCGTTGGATCCGCGAGTGGATCAGATCAGCCTCCCGGGGGGGGGGGGGGGGCGGCATTAAAAAAGTCAGAGGTCGGATCTCTGGAGGGAAAGGGCCAGAGAATCAGGGCCGGAAGAAGAAGAGGGAGGGGGGCACTGAAACTAGAGCCGGCATTGGGGCAAACGTACAACGAAGCCAGGACTAGGATAAAATCAGGTGAGGATTAATCGAAAATCTCTCTGAAGTCTGGCAGCTCTAGAGGATGTCTCGGGCACCGCGGCCTTCTCAGAGCGTTCCGGAACGCTCTGAGAGCGTTCCGAAACGCTCTGGAACGGATTTATCCTCGTCCGAGCCCCGTCCGACGAGGTCCAGAATAGTGCAGGGCTGACAAGATCGGCCACACGCAAGAGTGACCCTAGACGAGAGTGACCTTTGGTGCGCGGCTTCACGGGGGACCCGTGGAGGTCAAACCTGGGCGTGCAAGCTGCTGCTGCTGCTGCTGCTGCTGCTGCTGCTGCTGCTGCTGGGCCCCACTGGGCCCGCACTGGGCCCACACCAAAGTCCACTCTGGCGAAAGGTCGCTCTCACGTCTAGTCGAAAAGAGTAGGGGGCAAACCATGACATAAGCATAAAAAAATCCGAGGAATCCGCGCGGACCTCCGAGTTGCTATGTTTGTGTCGTCGCTTGGCCCCCTACAGAGACAGACGCGCAATGCACCCCCGCACGCCTCGGGCCACGGGGAGGCCGGCGCGGCGGCGGCGGGCAGGCCGCCGCCCGCCGCAGCCTCGCGGGGCGCCTCCGGCCACGGCGGCGTCGCCGAGGGCGCGGCCGCGGCCTGGCCGGACGGCGCCTGCGCGGCCGCGGCGGCCGCCCGCGACGGCCTGCTCCACGAGGCCCGCGCCGCCGCGGGCGCCGGGCCAGCCCAGGGGCGGCGTCTGCCCGCCGGCGCCCGAGGGCGTGGCGGCGCGCTGCGGGGAGCCGGGCCAGACGCTGTCCGGCCAGGCCGCGGGGGCGGGCGGCGACTGCACGGCCTGCGGAGGGGCCCGTCGCCAGGGGGGGCGCCCTCCTCGTGCCTGCGCTCGGAGGTCCAGTCCCCGTGCACTGTGCCGTGTCGCGCGCGCGCTCTGCTCTCGGGATGGTCCGAGATGCGCCCAGGTGGTCCAGACTTTCTAGCGCTGGCCCTGCCGAGGAGAGGAGGAGGAGGAAGAGGAGGAGGAGGAGGAGGAGCAGGAGGAGGAGGAGAAGAAAGGAGCAAGAGGAAAGAGAAGGAGGAGGAAGAGGAGGAGGAGGAGGAGGGGTCAGGGATGAGGAGGAGGAGGAGGAGGAGGAGGAGGAGGAGGAGGAGGAGGAGGAGGCGGAGGGAAAGGAGGAGGAAGGAAAGGAGGAGGAGGGAAAGGAGGAGGAGGAGGGAAAGGAGGAGGAGGAGAGATGCACACGTCCGAGCGATGCCAATGCCGCCTCCCTGAGGAGCAGGGCGTCGCAGTGCTTCCACCGCGGGCGGTGCTGCCTCGTGCTGGGCACGGGTGCCCTCACGGGTCAGTGCGTAGAAGGAGCTGCCGCGGAAAGGTGGGGCCAGGAGGGCTCCGGCCGAGTTGTTCTAAAATGCTGTTGGTTTGTCAGCACGTCGGATCTCAAGGTCTTTGGTTGATCCAAAAGGGGGTCCAGCTGCAAGGGGGTGGTGCAATAGGCGTTGGGCAATTGTGTTGCAAATGTATTGCGCAAGAGAATTGTATTGCAGTGTAGTGCAGCTAACGTATTGCACGCGAAAACCCAGCAATACATCTGCGCCGCGGCACGTACTGCACGCCCCGAATCTATTGCAACCCACAAACAAATGTGTTGCACCAAATCTGTTGCACCACCCCCTTTGTCGCTGGACCCCCTTTGGGGTCAACCAGAAGGTCCCCTCTCTCTCCAGGGCGGGCGCTCCGCTCTTCTCCTCGTCGTCGTGGACACAAGTCACGACAAGATGTTTTGGGCGGTGTTCGGCCTTCTGGACCCCCATCCTGCCCCGGGACCGTCAAAAAAATACTCGGGGTGGAAACCTGGCCCAGGTGAATGAGGCCAGACCTCCAGATGTATAGATTGCGTAACAAGGAAGAACCAAACATAATAGCAAGTAAGAAAACAACAACCATAATAATAACAACAACGTCAACAACGTCAACAACGTCAACAACAACAACAACAACAACAACAACAACAACAACAACAACAACAACAACAACAACATCAACATCAACGACAACGACAACGACAACGACAACGACAAAAACGATGTTGGAATTCTGGGCCCCTCTCTCTCTCTCTCGGACGCACGCTAAAATGTACTACGGATCCGTGAATATGGCAGGTGGATTTTAGATCCACGGATCGGGAAAGGTGGCCCCCGCAACACGAGGCCAACGCCGCCTGATTTGGCGACGGAGCGCGCCGATTGTGTACGGAAACGGGACCCGTCGCTAATCCACGCGCCCTGATCCATGTTTGCGATTCCTTGATTCTTCCTCCCTCCCTCTTGGCGCTGCTCCCAACCCTGGCTCCTGTTGCCGTTGCTGCTCCTGCTCATCCTCGTTCCATCCTCCCTTCTCCCCACCCTCCCTGCTCCTCATCTCCCTTCCCCCCCTCCGACCCCACTCACTCACCCCCCCTGCCCCTCCCTCTGGCCCCTCCCCCCTCCCCAGACCCTTCTGTTCCTCCCCCTCCCCTTTTTCTAAGAGGCCATGAGCCCAAGCTGAGATGGAGCGAAGCAAGCCTGGTTGTGAATGGCTTGCGTCAGAGATGCCAGAGCCTTGTTAAAGACCCAGGCCGTAAGCTCTGGCATTGCATGCGCAGTGATGCCATGGTCACCGTGCACGTTGAGGGTACCCAACGCCCGAGGCATCAGGCCCTTAACAAGATGGCAACTGCCCCAGTGCAGTCAGCGGTGTACAGAGCTCAGTCCGAGGGGGCGTGGCTCCAGATTACCCAGCGCCCCTTCAGATATCCAACGGCCCTCGTGCTGCCAGAGCTCCGCTCGTGGGTGCGGTTCTCGGTCACGTGATGCAACCCATCCCTCCTGGCGGTCGTCGTGTTGCACATGCTGCCAGAACTCCCCTTCCAGGAGCGAGTATTTCCGCTCCAAGCAGCCTTCGTGTTGAAAGAGTAGCACCACTCCCCGGCACGATTCACAGTCACACTACAGAAGCTTATCGCTCTGGGTGGCATTCGTGGTGTCAGAGCTCCCCTGAGAACGACTCCGTCTAAGGATATACTCCCTCTCGGTGGTAGTCGTGGTATCAAAACTCCAGTCGGAGGTACAATTATCAGTCACGTGATGCAACCGTCTCTTCAAGCGGCCTTCATGCTGCAAGACCTCCACTCCCGTTCCAACTCACAGGAATGCAACTCTCTCTAAACCAGCAGCCTTCAAGCTGCCACAACTCCACTCACATTCCAACTCACAGGAATGCAACCGTTTCGACCCCGGCAGCCTTCGTGCTGCCAGATTCCACGAGGAAGCCGAGACCAACTGGAACACTCACAAGCGGCCCGTCTGGCAACTCCCCTCGTGTCGAGCCCCTCAGGCAGCCAGACAAACCAGTCAGCTCGGCTGGTCCCGCCATTGGCCCGCGTGCCTTCGAGCCTGGAGATATCTCCCACAACTACTATTTGTCCCCAACCATCCTGTGGTGTCGAATCCCCGTTTTGAAGAGACAACGGCCCAAGTTCCTCACTCCCTCCTCCTCCCCCTCCTCCTCCTCCCTCCTTCCTGCGTTTTACCCACCAAATACAGCTCTTCGTGGCCCCATAGGGAGCTCTACCGAAGGCGCCAGTGCCACCGTCCGCACGCGTCCCGCCACATCCAATTTGGCATTTTCCCACCCAGTACAGCGCTTCGTGGCCCCATAGGGAGCTCCACCGAAATCCCCAGTGCCACCGCCCGTATGCATACCGGAACATCCAATTTGGCATTGTCACCCACCCAATACAGCGCTTCGTGGCCCCATAGGGAGCTTCACCGAAGACCCCAGAGCCACCGTCCGCATGCGCCGCCGAAACATCAGATTTGGTATTTTCACCCACCCAGTACAGCGCTTCGTGGCCCCATAGGGAGCTCCACCGTGAGCGCCAGTGCCACAGTCCACACGCGCCCCGAAACATCCAATTTGGCAGTTTCACCCACCCACCACAACGTCTCGTGGCCCCATAGCGAGCTCCACCGAAAGCCCCAGTGCCACCGTCCGCATGCGCCCCGAAACATCCAATTTGGCATGTTCACCCAGCTTCGTGGCCCCATAGGGAGTTCCACCGAAGGCCCCAGTACCACCGTCCGCAAACGTCCCGAAACATCGAATTTGGCATTTTCACCCTCCCAGTACAGAGCTTCGTGGCCCCATAGGGAGCTCAACCGCAGGACCCAGTGCCACCGTCCGTACGCGCCCCGAAATATCCAATTTGGCATTTTCACCCACCCAGTACAGCTGGCCCCACAGGAATCTCCACCGAAGACACCAGTGCCACCGTCCGCATGCGCCCCGCAACATCCAATTTGGCAGTTTCACCCACCCAGCACAACCGTTCGTGGCCCCATAGGGACCTCCACCGAAGGCCCCAGTGCCACCGTCCGCACGCGTCCCGAAACATCGAATTTTGCATTTTCCGCCCACCCAATACAGCGCTTCGTGGCCCCATAGGGAGCTCCACCGAAGGCCCTAGTGCCACCGTCCGCATGCGCCCCGCAACATCCAATTTGGGATTTCCTCCCTCCCAGTACAGCGCTTCGTGGCCCCATAGGGAGCTCCACCGAAAGCCCCGGTGCCACCGTCCGCACGCGTCCCGAAACATCCAATTTGGCATTTTCACCCACCCAGTGCAGCAGCCCGTGGCCCCATAAGGAAACTCCACCGTAGGCCCCAATGCACCCGTCCGCATGCGCCCCGAAACATCAGATTTGGCATTTTGCACCCTCCCAGTACAACGCTTCGTGGCCCCAGGGGGGGCTCCACCGAAGGCCCCAGTGCCACCGTCCGCATGCGCCCCGAAGCATCAAATTTGGCATTTTCACCCACCCAGTACAGCGCTTCGTCGCCCCACAGGGAGCTCCACCGTAGGCCCCACTGCCACCGTCCGCACGCGCCCTCAAACATCCGATTTGGCATCTTCACCACCCCAATACAACGCTCCGTGGCCCCCTGGAAACTCCACCGTAGGCCCCAGTGCCACCGTCCGCATGCGCCCCGAAACTTTTTTTGTTCCTCACGTCGACCACGGCAGCTGGATGCCTCGACAACTTCGCATGGCCGCTGCCCCCGGCCATGGAGGGAAGCCGGGCTGCGTGGGCAGCCGACCACCAAAGAATACGGAGACGCTATCAGGCACGTGGCAGGGACAGCGAAAGAGCACCCGAGACAATTATTGCCCGGGGGCCAGGGCGAAAATGTTACTTAAGACCGGGTTTTTCGAAGGCACGAGGAGGAGGGGGAGGAGGAAGGAGAGCACTGAGCAAAGCCCTGAGGGTCATCGCCAGCCGACTCCTGTGAGTCTGGGCGCCCCGCTGACCAGAAGAAGGCGTGCTCCCAAGGTGTCGCGCACATTGGCGAGTCAGTACATTACACGCGGGAAGAAATGTGATGGGCAGCGACCACGGACGACAACGACGAGGAGCGGAGGCGAGGAGGGGGGAACTAACTCAGCTTTGCCACACTGCGGCCACGAGCGATGCGAGGCGAGGATGCGCAGCACAAGCTTCCCTAGCGTACTGCCACATGGCCTCCCACGCGTTGGAGGTGGCCCCGTGGCGCGCCGCTGTGGATGCCGCGTAAACGCAATACACCGCCAGGGCACGGCGAGCGATAGCGCTCGCCGTGTCTTCGGAAAAACGGGGGGAGAGGAGCAGAAAGTGAGACCAGCGCTCGCCGGGTGGAGGGGCAGTCAGCGCCAGCTGCCTGCGCCCGAACTCCGCGACCCTGGAGCAGTGGATGTAGTGCTCGACGCTGTCCTCCCCGTGTCCGCATGCAAACGCGCAAGGCGCTGGCCTCTGCATGCGGCG